TAACAAAACTCTAAAAGCGTTTTGAAAAGTCAGCTCGCTTGTAAAAGTTATAGCGGGTCCAAGTTTAGCTTTTTCATTGTACTTTTCTGCACCATTTTTTTTTTTATAGGAACTACTCAGAAAATTGTAACATTATAGAGGCATTGGGATAGATAAGGATATATATATATATATAAATATATATATAGATGTGTTCAGGAAAGCGAGAGGAATTGATTTACCCCTCTATTATGAATTTTCATACGACAGAAGATAAACGCTTGCAAGCGTATCGTATGAAATCAGTTCTCGTATTATCGTTCTCATACGTATGTGCAAGCTCTGTCATAAGTAAAATTTTAGTTATCTTGATGAAACTCATTTCACAGGTTGTTACTAGGACCGGTGCTGTTGGTATTGTAAATGGGCGAAATCGGTCAATAACCACGCCTACTTTTCATATAACGGTACTTCTGGAAAACCCCAAAAGACACATATATCGGCAATTAATAAAGCGAATCTCTTCAAATTTATTAAGTAGGTTGACTTTAGGGCTTGACATCCGTTTCTGCATAAGGCTTGCAATGTGGGCGTGAATCAAATGTTTGTATCGCGAAAATCGCTGCATCAAATTTATCCAAACTCAATATGCACATTTCTCGCGAGTTTATCTCACCATTTTGTAAAAATGGGCAACATCGGAAGAGACCACGTTCACTTTCCATATATTTTTTCCAGGTATTTTTTGTTTGACTTATTTTCAACACATCAGCCAACAGTTATCAACTGAATCAGACGAAGGCGAGTGGTATCATCAACTTGCTCTTCCTTTCGAGATGAGGTGCACTTTTATTTGACCATTAACGTTTTCAATTGACTTATACCGTTTTAAAGGTAGTGAGGAAAGCAATCTCCTGACGCAATATTAGCGGAAACTTGTTGGTGGAGTATGAAGACGTACGAAGAACGAGATAAAGACACGCAAGAGGAAGTAATCGAGCGCGACGTAAACAATTTACTGCATATGAATAAAATTTTGTAATGGAATTTTTTTTTTGTTTTTTTAAATGCAAGGACCAAATTTTGAACGCCAATATCTTTTGAAAGCAAGCTAACTTTGCAAAACCCTTTTATGGTTTTGCTATTCAAAATCGGTGCTATCGATCTGTGTTGGATTGTTTTTCCGTAAGAAAAATGTGTTGCACAGTGTAATCGGTGATTTAATGGGTTTTGGACAATATTTTTTTTTATTATTATTCAACAAACAACACAAGTGCTAACAAATAATTCACCTCGAAAGGTTTTGATAATCGGCACACAAAAACCAAAAACAAAATACATGTAAATTTTGTTTTTATACGGTAAGATCATAGGTTCAAATGTATCCCAATAATAACCAGAAAATGAGTTCCGATTAAAGTTTAACAATATCAATTCTTAACAAAATCCTGGCATAAGAAACGAAAGGCAACAATGGACTTAAAATATCCTGAAAGTCTTAATGAAAGCCAAAACTAATCTCCATCCCATCCATCAGCTTAACCTTGAATACAAAACCAAATATTTCTTTACAGCTGTAAAGCGTTGGCTATTTTGTAAGGTGCAACTTTTTTGGATGCAAACAATGGGCATCTGATAAAAAATTGAGCTTAAGCTCTTGACTCGATTGTCAGTACAAATTCTTGAGATTGATCTCAATCCATCAGTGCAAAAATTGAGTCTGAGCTTAAGCTCAATTTTTATGCATGAGGTCCAATAAGTCCTTCCGTACAGATACTATTTACTATATAACCAAATATGAGCCACAACGGACTATAAATACTATGATTACATACATATGTATATCTCGCCAACAGACCCAGCGATCAGGTCAAAAAGTAAGTAAGTAAACGTAATAGGCTGCAGTGTAAAATAGGTTACAGTCTTCAATAAAACGGTGCTTAAAAGGCATTTGGAGCTGTATAAATAACTTCATTTTCTATTAATATTTTTAATTACTCCTTAAAGGTTCAAAAATGTTAGATAGGGCCTTTTTATATTAAGGTAGGTTGGGTTAGGTAAGGTGGCAGCCCCATGTAACCGGAGTTCACTTAGACAATGTGGGATTGTCCTTTGTGATTTATCGATAAAACGCTCCGAGCCGATTATGTATTTACGAATTCGGCTAATCTCAATGCCGCAGAGCCTCTCGAGGCTATTTAGAAAGGGAGAGCATACGTACACAAAAGTTTTGGCTAATTGCCTTTTGTTTATTTAATGTTAATTTTTTTTTTATAAAAGTCTAGCTTTTGATACAACAATCACGAAATAAATTTAGATTGCAATCTTTGTACAAAAATTATAAAAATTCTGCAAATTTTCACCAAAATTTCAAATTTTTTTATCAGCATCTTTGGAAACAATTTTGGTATGCAGTTTTGTAGCCCATTTAATTCTAAAAAATCTCGTTGACTTTTGACAAATTTTTTTGCTTGCAGTGTCCTCCATATAAAATAAATTTGTCGAACATACTTTGTATGGAAAAACCTCACCTTCAAAAAAAAATTCTCAAAAATCAACGGGATTTTTTACTTGCACTTCGTTATACTGAATGGGCTACGAAACTACATACCAAATTTTTTTCTATAGATTGAAATTTTGGTAAAAATTTGCCGAGTTTTTATAATTTTTGTACAAAGTTTTAAATGTAAATTTATATGCAGTTTGTTGTATAACCAGCTAGACTTTTATAAAAAAACAAAAAATACACGTTAAATAAACGAAAGACAAATGCCAAAACTGGTCAAAATATCGCCCTCCTCTCATTTTGTTGTGGACACCTTTACATATTTGAACAAATATGTATTCATATTTGAATACAATCATACAAAAGGAAAATAATTCCTTATTAAATGATGAGTTGAATAAATATATTGTAGACCAGGCGACAGCAGTGAAAAGGCACAGGATCTCACAAAGGCTCCACGCTGTCGCAGCTTCGTGACATTTTGTCCTTTCAGCACTGAGCAAACAACATGAAAGTGCTCGTTCGTTCAGTGAAATGCCGCACACGCGCAAGCACACTGTGTACGATGGAATGGTTGGAGCTTGTATTTGCACTTTGTAGACAAAATGGTCGCTAGGCGCCACAGTGTCGCGCCAGTGGAGATTTCGTGGCGGCTGGCTGCTGTGTGCGTGTGCGCTTCTTTAGCAAGCACTCAATTTTGCGCTTTTTGCAATGAATGTCAACGTGTGTGGGTAGCGATAGGTTCTGCGCTATTTTATAGGAATATAAGATTACTTTACGAGTGCTACGAATGTAAAATTTTTATGCTTTTCCACTCGTGGAAAGTAGGAGGACATATAAGCGCCTGGGACAAATCGCCAATTGGGTATTATTGCGATCGCCAAACACTGCGTTGGCTGCGTTGCTTAGCTGGCGACCAATTAACCATTAGTGCCACCGGAATTTTTGCCTCATTCATCTTAGACTGCCATTAATCAATTCGTCTTCAAGATAATCATCAGTGCAGTAAAAAAGTTGTAGCGCAAACGATAAGAAAAAAAGAAAAGAGCTTTTTCATGTTTTACCGCTAAAGAATGCACGCATATTTACTTTCAGTTATGTGGATGGCTGTCCACGCTGCACGACCGTCGACCGTTCCTCTAGAAACTGCCAGCAATATTGGCATCCTGGCGAGTGCTTCTCCATGTTGAAACATGGCTTCGCTTTTTTGAGCCATTTGCTGCTTGCTGACTTACAACTTTTTTTTGTACTGGATGCATTTTCAATAAATAAAAAAAAAAAATAACAAAATTTAGCTCGTTATCCTGTTGGCTTAGTTAGTCGAGAACATCCTTTCGCTGTGGGTGGCGGCCAGTGCTGAGTTGTCATTGAGTTGGCTGTTGAAAATTGGAAGTCACTTGTGCTAACCTTGGCGCTGTAACAGAATGTGGTAATTTTTTATTAATGTTGTTGTTGTTGTTGCTGTTGTTTTCAATGTTTGCAAATTAACTTAATCTCGCTGAAATCAGTTTGTTAGCATTAATTGCATTCTTCGAAGATTGCTTGTTGTCTGCGCTCGCAACGCTGCGGCAGCCAGGCCCATTCAGCCTATATTTATATAAATATCGGTGGTGTACATAGGTACACATATACATACATACATATGTATGTATGTGCAAGTATGGGCGCATCCTTTGCAGTGGGGGGGTTGCTAATTGAAAAGCCAAAGCCTAAATACCTAAGTACATAAATACATACATATGTACAAGCGGCACCACTCTGAATCTATGTACAGATAAGCATACATATGTACATATTTACACCGTTTTTGGCATACACAGCATGTATATGGATTTACATATCCATAAGTATGTATGTAAGCTTTTGTTAATTTTTTCTCGCAGTCACATACATACATATGTATTACTGCTGTCCTCCTCAAACTGTTTGGCCAGTGGGAAATTTCATAGTGGTTGCTGCTGCCTGTCGTGCGATTCTACATATAATCATCCAACCCCATGGGGTGTGATTTTAACGCCTTATGCGAATAAGATGCCACACTCTTGTGTTGTTGGCAGCGCTGTACACCCACCCACCAGCTTGTGGACCACCACAAACTCAACCCAACGCACATCAGCTTTGCGGCAGCACATCATTCCACACAAATGCTTTTCACCCCGCTGTGGTCTTCTGTGCACTTCCTTTCGAGTTTACTTGACTTGGTTTTTTGCTGCTTTTTCGAGCGTTTGTCAGTTCCTTTGAAAGCGTCTACGATGCGCAGCTTCCGATGGCGCATGCGCGCTTTTGTGCTCAAGCTATGATGTTGTGCCGTCATCGTCATTGTCGCCGACGCAACTGCTGCCGCCACAGCCACCATCAGCACCAACACCAACACCACCACCACCACCACCACCAGCAAGTCCACCCCAGAACGGCAGACACAGAACGCTAACATCTTGTGGAATGGCTGAGCTTTGCCGCAGTGGAGCACGATGTGTCGCTGACGGAGCACATCATTCTAGGCCTAACCATAGATCGGAAAGGACATCAGCAGCATCAGCATTAGGCGCCGCCGTGATACCAGCAGCCGCTTAGCTGTGAGAAAGTGCTGGCCGCTTGGACCAACTCAGTTGTGCTTGCAACCTGCCACGATACACTTGTGCAAAATGTAGAACTGAAACACTTAAAAAAAAAAATAATAATAAAAAATTTTTTTAATATAAATACTAAAAAACTACTCTCAACGGTTGTGCTCATCGATCGAAGATGATTTTTAGTAAAATTACGAGTATAGTTAACGGTTTTCGCTTTTAAAAATTTTAAAACCACTAACTGAAATAACCAAGTGCCTTTCGTGTTCCACGTGACATGAAGCCAAGAAACACCAGGAGCCTTAAGATACAGATTTCAGTGCCTTAGATACGCAAAAAGTTTCTTTAAAAATATATATATACAAATTTTTTTTTTTTTATATTGAACGTTGTTACTCAAAATTGTTTTAATTTCGTGTGCCTTAATCGCCGTACAGCCTTAATAATGCAATCGTTGTCGTCTAGAGATTGCCGCTAAACGTGTTTTTTTTTTTTTAATATTGTTTTACACGAATCTTCGTTGATCATAGTCGCGTTTTTATCATCGTTCATCGCTTGTTGTTAAAAAATATTCCTTCACCTTTGTACGGTTTTAAATGCTATTGCTGTTGTTGTTATTGTAACTGTAATTAACTGTTAAGCTTCGGTTAATGTCGATATACTTATATGATATTTAAAAAAAAAATAAATAAAATAAATTTTGTTAATCAAAAAATCAACGTTACGACGTCATTTCTGTGCGACGTAGCGTTGTTGGTGTCACATCACAACGTGCCTCGTCAGTTGTCGGCGATTCGGAAGCGTTGAACGGCCTAACGGTTATTATGTTCTCCACGAATCGCTCGATCGAGCTGCAGTAACGATTTGAAAAAAATCTTCACACAATTGCCTTGCGTTTTGTCCGATGTGCCTTCACGTTTTTAAAATAATCAACGACTCAGAGATGAGTTTGAATTTTCCAAAGAGTAAGTAAAAATTAAATTGGATAGATATCTCAGAAATACCACTTTCATAACTAACGCTCGTATCTAAACTTTTTTTGCAGTTTAATACTTTTTTTTTTTGGATTTCAAAAATGGATACTGCTTTTTTTTCCAAAATACTGCATTTATACGAAAAAAATACTCTTTTTTGCTTCATAAATTTTTTAATGCACAGAATTTGTCAGCCGTTGATACAAAACTATGTACATAAGTTAACAGCGAAAAATATGTACGTTATAAAAATGCATATGTATAAAAATAGGGACACAACATTTTTACAAGTTTTGACAATTTTTTTTTTCGTTTGTTTAATGTTGATTAATTTTTTATTAAAGTCCAGTTAATATATAATACTTAATAAAAATAATAATAGATTGGCGCTTACACATACTATGTTAGTGTTTGGCCGAGCTTCTCCTCCGATTTGCGGCGTGCGCCTTGATGTAGTTGCACAGTTTTACTCCGTTTCTGTGAGAAGCTGTTGTAACTTCTTAATCAGCATCTTGGTGTGCTGTTTGTAGCCCCCTAAATTTTAGTATAATAAAGTGCAAATTTTAGTATGTATGACTTACCGTTGATTTTTGACAATTTTTTTGTTGACAGTATTCCTAATTTTTTCATATAAAAAAATAGTCGAACATACCGACTGCTGAGTGGAAGATCGACCTATCTCGGCAGCCAGTTCGAAAACACCCTATCTCATAAACTTTTCAAAAACGTCCTATTTCAGAATTTGGTTGAAGAACGCCCTATTTCAGAATTCGTTTCAAAAACGCCCTATCTCAGCTACCGATTCAAAAACGCCCTATATCAGTACATTTTCAATACATTTTGAAGTGAGATAGGATAGATTTTTGAATCGAATTCTGAAAAAGGGCGTTCTTCAATCAAATTCTGAAATAGGGCGTTCTTGAAAAGTTTTTTTTTGAGATAGGGCGTTTTCGAACTGGCTGCCGATATAGGTCGATCTTCCACTCAGCAATCGATACTTTGTATGGAAAAAATGCGGAACACTGTCAACAAAAAAATTTCCAAAAATCAACGGTAAGTCGCAGCCACTCCAAATTTGCACTTTATTACACTAACCGCCCAATTCTGTTTTCTTGATCAATTTTTTGTAAAGAAATTTTATCAAGATTTTTATCAAGTAAAAGC